GCAGTCAGCAGTACGACTTCGCCCTCAGATCTTGAGTAGTTGCTTTTAGTCTCATCGTTCTCCAATCGACCTACCTGGCATGGTAGAACCTTCAGGAATATATGTTCCAGCCAGTATAGCTCGGTTGGGTGATCACGATAGGCAGCCCCGACCACCACGTGAAGATAGCAGCTACATTCGGGATATATTCACTGTGTACTTCAGTGTTTCTTCTTTATGACCAGAGTAGAACAGCATCCCTCCTTAAGCTAGTATTTTTTGTCCAACATGCGTCCACTGCGCTTCAATGACTCCTAGTACCACCAGTTTGTATCTGTTTATCTCTTCAGTAACTTGAATAGTTTTCCCAGTCTCCTACAATGAACGAACATTCCATTCACCTATATAAATAGTAACTCTGGTCGCCAAAACGGCCTTGGCCTCGTGACTTCTGAAGAAACTCAGCTTTCATCGAAATAAGTCATAACTCCTCTCAATGAAGACCTTCAGACTTCCAGGTCAGAATTCCAATTGTTCTTTTCTTGTTAACCTTTTCTTAGAAAGTTAGTTTTCTACAGGATGGGATGGCTAACCATCCTCCTCTATCTGGACTTGATATCTTCAGTAACCTCAAAAGGGCTTTTACAAGGTAAAAAGCAAGATCCTCCTATATAACATAACACATCATGCACTAACACGATCAGTAAAATTCTACTATTGGAGCCAACAAACCAGATTTCAGTTGAGGGAGAAATTAGGAAAAAGCTATGGAGGTGCATTGGACAGACATTGTGGGACGCACCCAACTGTGTCACAAGAAATGCATTAACTTAGAACAGCAGTTCTTTGAACTGGAAGGGAGGCCCAGGACAGAGTAGTTTGGAGAATGTTACTTGGCAGTCTGCGTCCCACGAAAGATAACAGGCTTAGGTAAGTATACTGAATCATCGACAGTAGTCAGTAGGAAGAAGCGAAACTATATTTTGTTCTAATTGTTAAAAATAAGATATTTACTAACACTTTATTGTCAAAGTATCACTATGAAACAAGTAAGCTTACAGATGGATCGTCATGTATAACTAAATCTTCAAGGAAAAGTAAATGTATCATAAGATTGAAAATGAGTTGATGGCTTTTTCCGGAATAATTGTATCGATACTGTCTAATTTATCGAACATGCCTATATTCATCACTATGATGTTAGCAAGTTTCTTCACATCACAGATACTTTGTCTACATAACTAATCGCAAATATATCACAAAATACTATTTACAACAGGAAGTCAATAATGTCAAGTCAAATTATATAATTGATCTGAAGTCAAGTATATCTACATGATAGTGTTGTTCACTTACAAATAAAATTGATCTTCTAGTGTAGAGTAGTAGTATACTAATCTATTGAGCCCAAACCTTTTTGAACAAACTAATATCACACACATACTTTGACGTTGTGTGCATTTGCACTGCTTACTATCACATAACCAACTTATTCTTGTCAATTAGTCATGCTCTCATCAAATAGAATCGATCCATTCGTATTCACTTCCCCGTTGTTATCCGTCTGCTTACGTGTATATATGAGATAAATTCACCTAACCAAACTCCTCTTAGGATTATTGTTGTTGCCTCTGTTTCACAAACAGGGTTCTCCTATGGGTACCAGGCCATCAAAATCGATTAGTCATTAAAAGGGAGTTGTTTCACTTTTAGCATTTTGTGAATAATGAACATACAGTTTTCAAGGTACTCGTTCAATTATTCTTGTCTTTTTAAAATAACGCCTCAAATTAGTGTGTATTTTTGCTAACAGTTGACTGTATTATATTAGGCAAAAGTTGAAGATAATAATAGATAGATTTTCTGAAATCTTTATCACTTTCAAACAAATTCAGAATCATATTAAACATCGATACCAAGGTACTAGATGTTGTGAAAATAATGTTAATTATCAACATTCTGTCCGGCTAATTGCTCCAAATGTTAAAAGATGATGAAAGGAAATAGGTATATTGATTTAAAATCTAAATTCCAATCTGATAACTAGTTGAGATATACTACTGAAAACTATACGTGCAGGCAGATAAGTTTTAATCAAGTATTCAAATGAACATAATAACGAAACATTCTGTCCGCCGGAATAACAGTAAATCACAAAGTTATTCTTTATTGGAACCATGAATCGATCAATGTTAGACCACCATTAGAAACCTTGAACCACTGGAAGGCCGTTTCGTCCTGTTATGGGACCCCTCAGCAGGGCGTATCCACGACTCCTGCACCTTCGGTAATGTAGACGAACGCCTAACCATCGGACCACTGAGCCGGTATCTAGCGGTGTTAATCTCTAACTTGATCAATTCACGGAGTTGCACAACTTCATGGCGCAGGAGTCATGGATGCGCATTGCTGAGAAGTCTCATGACAGGACGAAACGGCCTTCCAGTGGTTCAAGGTTTCTAATGGTGGTCTAACATTGATCGACTCATGGTTTCAATAAAACTTAACAATCTTCACAACCCCGCAATACAAAGTTATTCCATTCCAACTATGGTTAAACTTTTTCTTGATATAATTATGAGAAGTAGGGATAATAGACCATCCGGGAATTCTACACAGGTTACCAAAACTTTAATAACACTGAACACTGATTGACCTTATCTGAAGTATCACTACAGATCATGTAATTCAGAATGCCCCAACAGCTCACGTTCATAATACCATGTTGGAATGAAAACAAAACTTCCAGTTCATGTGGTAGACGCCTAACCACTGAATTACTAACCGGATAGTAGATGAACACTGACACAAAATTGTAAACTAGTACGAAATAGCTTACCACACATCATTAGTACCTTAACTGAAATTTTTTCTGTGACGAATACTATCTACAAATTAAAATAATATTTACAATATCACTTCATATATAATGTGTAGTGTGTCGATCTCGACGTGTTGCTAATCTTCGTAATTATGTCGTCCAGACAATCGTTACTCAATAGCGTCCGATGGTTTATAAATCAAAAAGTGAACAAAAAGTGTCGAATACGTTTATTTGGGACACACCACAAAGCGAAGCGGAGAAGCAACGAATAAAACGAACGAAGCGACTTGAATTGGAGAAGGCTGTTGAGCCAACTCTAAGAGACAGGGCATGACTAAGAATTTATAGTCAGACAAATATAAGACAGACATGTGATCAACGAGATAGGCATGTACACACATGAACGAAAGCGACGAATAGTCGACAAGGTCAAATGACAAGTGAGACACGTCATGTGAGCTCATACATACCAGACAATAATAAGAACGAATGGTACATATAAACTGTTGCAATACAAATAATGGCTTGGTTAAATAAATTAATCGAAAAGGCTTAACCAAGCTAGATGTAAGCGAACTGGAATATGTGTGGAAGCACTACATATGAACGATATTTCACCATACGTTCTCTAAATTTGTCTGTCTGAAATCATTATTCACATTAAATAAAAACTGTTTTGTTGATTGTCGTAAATTTCGTGACAATTAGAAATTCTCATCACTAGCGTTACGTGATACAAATAAAAACTTCTCTTTGACACGAAATTCATATTTTATCAAGTCGAAAATATTTTGTATTTTTTTCCAATAAACAATATCTGCTACTCTTCATCAATCATGAAGGTTATCTACTGAATCAGCTAGAACAACTGCTTCTACGGTTACATAATGAAGGCATAAATTTACAATTTTAATCAGCGTCCATTTGTTTAAAACAAAAGATAAATCTGCCGGGAATGCAATCTCATTGAAATGAAGAACTGACCAATGTCAGATTACAATTGAAAATCTAAAAGAACTGGACGACCATTTCGTGCTAGTATGAGACTCTTTAGCAGTATGCTTGCGCTATCCTGCAAGCAGGAATGGAATTCAAGACCTTCAGTGCCGTACACGAACGCCTAACCTCTTGACCACTGAGCCGGCTTCTAACGGTGTTAATTTCTAACTTCAGTATGCGACCATCAACCATTGTCTTTATCGAGTAACTGCCTCACATCCGACAAGATTAAACTCCACTAGCCATCATTTATCACTAGAACTTTGAAAATTCCCTCTCGGAGCCAGTCATTGATTAGCAAATGATAATCCTTAGTATAAGGGTTGTGAACATTGTAAAGTGGATTGACTGAAGCTACATAATAGTACCGTCGGATGCCGTTTCATTAGTTTGGAGGTTGAATGTCCACGCGCAGGACCGAAGTTCCTGGGTACTAGTCCCGTGTGCAGGGTCCTGTACTTACACTATCGAGGAGTCACGTACGAGACGACCTTCCAGTGCCCCCAAGTTTTTAGTAGTGGCCTAACATATATCCAGTTCATAACTTTAATGAAACTTAACCCTCACGCTGAAAAATTGCAGTATTCCCTGGTGAGTTTTCTTATAGTAGGCATTGTAACAAGTCGCAAGCTTTTTACAAAACCGTGTTAGTGCACAAAGTTAGTTTTCATATATATTCAATACAAATAAATCTAAACTTGAAGGTGATTAGAATATTTGTATAGTTGTAAAATAAGTGATCTAAACATTTCAACTGGTTTGCAGTAGAATCCCTCTTGTTATTATTAGGAATCCTTGATGGGATTTTACTGCACCAATATAAAGTTTAGCGTCAAACCACCCGGTTGACTAGATTGAATTAGCTGTTACAAGTTTTCAATCTCAGATCGGAAACAGTAAACCTGATTTACTCTGTGTTTGCTCGAGTCCACTGCTAGTGATATACACACATCCGATGTGTATGCCCAAACCAGGTACTTGAGTGAGAAAACCAAGTATAAGTAGGAAGATTTTATTACTTAGACTGAATCAAATATATACACAACTTATTTATCAAAAAAAATACTTGTATTTCTCCCCCAGTTGAGAATCAAATCCAATTTTCAACCAATAAAGTATATTTACTCTTTTAGAAATTAAGGCCGAATCTTGGTCAATCACATGAACCAGTCAGTCAGCCTATCAAAGAATAATTTGTTTAATTGTCTTTATTGTTAACATTGTTAGATTTCTTCGATTTTGAAAGGAATTTAGCATGTAAACGACGCCACAATTGTTGTAGATCAACTAATATACTTAAATATACAATATAAGCAATAGAACGATACCATTTACTATGAAGAGAAGTAAAAATAAAGAGAAACAATATGAATGGGTTAGTTAAATATATATATATATATATATATAAATATATATATATATATATATATATATATATATATATATATATATATATATATATATATATATATATATATATATATAATAAACATATCACTGTTAAACACAACATCCAAAAAAACATACCGACTGTACGAGAGAACAAATCAGATTGTAGATGAGGAAGAAATTACGGAATAGCGCTGTAAGTAGGAGTAGTAATTACGTTGAGGAAAGCACCCAACTGTGTCACGAGGAAAACCCTAACTTGGAATTCTCAATGTCAACGGAAAGGATGAAGACCAAAGAACACACCGGGCCGACAATGGGAGGCACATATGAAAAGAATGAATAGCAATCGGGTAGAAATGGTGAGTAGATTTGAAGACAGAGTGTGCTGGAGAATCCTGGCAAGTGGCCTATTCTCCAAATAGGGGTATCAGACGTAAGTAATCTAAAAAATATATTGTCCACCACAAGATCGACAGCGTTATGGAAGAATCTTATAGTTAAGACTACATCTCATTCTCGAGCACTTCTTTAGACTCAGATCATGCATGCTCTAGTGTGAGCGCATATCTGTTTGCGTCTTACTGGACAACGGAAAAATATCGCAAGGAAACCTCTAACGGCTCTGCTTAATGATAATAAAGCTAAGAATATATTTCAGAAACAACTAGAAAAACGATTAGGCAGCCATGTAGTAAGTGACGTCCACGCTGAGGCGGCTTGGAATTATATCAAAAAGGCTGTGGAAACAGCTGTGGATTTCAGTAACATCCACCGAACTGATGGATGTGTGAAAACTCATCCCGCCTGGCTCTGAGTGTGATGAGGAGCGGAGCCAGCTTAGGCACAGGCTGATAAAAAGCCTGTGTCAGGACAGTTCTACTTAACTGAACAGGAACTTGGAGAATCACGAAAGTTGTCATTCACAAAATACAGGCGTTAATTAACAGTTGCCTATGCAAGATACTCTTCATCCATTGACCAGAAATTATCAGCAACAACCTACTGTGACAGAGAGCTAATCAGATTCCAGTTGAGGAAGATATTAGGAAAAAGCGGTGTAGGTGGATAAGGACTTGGATTGAGGGAAGCACTCAACCACATAATAAGGTGAGCCCTCACTTGGAATTGTTAAGGCCGGAAAAAAAAAGAGGAAGACCGTAGAATACATAACACTGAGAACTGGAGGCAGACATGAATCGAACGAAAAACAATTGGATAGAACTGTAAAGGAAGGGCCTAGGGCAGAGTACGTTGAAAAATGTGTTACTTGGCGGCCTCGCTCCAATATGGGTGTTACGCCTGCACGTAAACACGTCAACTTGATAAACTTGAACTAGTACAAGTTCACCTAGTCCGGTGACACGACATGCTACTCAAATCCGATAATCCCAACCACCATATTGAGTAAAAATAAGAAGACTTGATATAAAGTAGAACCTGCATTCTACAAGCATCCAGAAAGTACGAAGTTCGAATCCAGAAGAGAATCAGAATCCCGCAATAAAGATCCGGGACCGCGTCCTGGTCCAGGTCATAATACGTTACAGATAGTGCGTATTTATACATTTTGGTCGAATGAGAAACAGCATCGAAGTCTGTGACATTGACAGTTAAGACGACCAATAGGAAGTAACATTTGAAGTGACATTGATCGTCAGGACAACCAATCAGAAACAACATTGGAGCACGTGATATTGATATCTAGGACGACCATAAAATTGACCCAATAGGAATTGACCAATAATTCTCTTAGGATATTGGATGAATATCCTAACAAGGGGTAACAAGCCCAAGTAAGTAAGTAAGTGAGTAAGCATATAATGCTTGCTTACATAAGTAACTCAATTCACTTGAATCAATTTTCGTTTATTTCTGTCAACACATCATCCCTTAAAAACACTATCTTCAGAATTGGTCAAAGTGAAGAGAGAAAAGAGAAATCATATATTGATTCAAATACTCAAATCAAAACTACAAATAATCAGAAAAATTTATCATTTATCCGTTTCATATAAAGCAAGGATATGATCAATTAGGAAATCAAGATTTAATGAAATACAAGAAGAGAAGAGAAACTAAATCAACATACAGATTGAATTGTATACGCTGCGTTTTATTAGCTTCTAAAAATTCACGATGAAATATTCCCATATCCGGTTGTGTATGTCCAGTTGCATGTTTCTTCTTTTCTTTGGCTAAAAATGCCATTTTTGCCTATGATTATAATGATGTGTTTTAAAAATAAAAAGTGTATATAAATTTTCACAAAACTATACAATTTTTCAATTCGAGAGTTATGGAGATTAGTGTATGTTGCACACTGAAATCATCGATCAATCAATCATTGTTCGACCACCGCTAGAAACCTGGAAGCACTGGATAGCCGTATCGTTCTGGTATGGGACTCATCAGCAGTGCACATCCACGACTACTGCATCTCACAGGATTCGAACTCGGGAGCTTTGGTCTTGCGTGCCAACACCTAAACTCTGGACCACTGGGTTGGCGTCTAACGGTGTTAGTGTCTAACTCTGATCAATATACAGATTATTAGCGACCTCACTTATTTGTCACCCTGCCCACACCCAACAGGGTTGAACTCCACTAGTCATGTCTTCTCACTAGAACTGCAGAGATTAGGCGTTCGCGCGCAAGACCGAAGGTCCTGCGAGGTGCAGGAGTCGTGGATGCGCACTGCTGATGAGTTTCGTACCAGGACGAAACGGTTGTTCAGTGCTTCCAGGTTTCCAATGGTGGTCGAAAACCTATACAAGTTGCATGAAAACATTTTAAAAAAACAATACTGTGAAGAAAATTTGTAGCTCAGCTGGATGATTATGCTGGAGTTTTGTGGTCTAATCTGAATGTATTGGTTGTGCTTTTTGACTGATTGTCCAAACAATTGTTCTCGTGTTCTTCTATCAGTCAGTGAGTCAGCTACAATGTAGAACTTCGTACTTACTTACATACATATATCAGTTCAGGTTGCCATACTATATTGTAAGCACAGATATGCAATCGTGGTTTGAAATGCCATATAGTGGCAGAGGTAGTAGAAGTATTAGCGGTAGTTAAAAAAAACTGGAGTTCGAAGATATTACTCAAGAAAAAAGAAAGATAAAGGTGATGAGCAATTCAGAAGATAAGAATTTGGGAGAAGACAAGGAATGGATGTACGTGTGCCATTGCAAACGATCTTGAGTCATATCACCGGTCTCTATTCATCAGGTACTATTGTTTTGTGGACCCCAACCAGATAATTTACACTTAACAACATGACTCAGTCCACTTGTCAGTGACTTCATGGATTTGTGTCATGTTTTGGTCTGGTCAGCCCTAGCTTTCTCCCAGCCTACTGCTACACCAGACATCACTCGTTGAGGTAGTCCTTCGCTGAGCGTAAGTAAAACACGTCCCAACCAGTTCAAATAATGGAGTTTCGACAGTTCACCAACTGAATTTGCATCCTTACCTAATACTCGTTTCCAAACAACAACATTGCTTACTCGGTAGTTTCAGAATATATGAGCAATGCTTCAAAGACACCTATGGATGAATACCGATAACCTACGAATATCCTCTACTCTTACTGTTAATGTTATAGTAGGATGGAGCGAACTGCTCCGCAGTAGACTCGTCCTTTGAATAGCAAGCGGATATCTCGCCTACGTTACCTTCTGTTGACAGTGTTACTCCTTTGTTCTGTTTTGTCTGCACAACCAAAACAACCAGCTCACAGAAAGGAACTCTATCATAAAACAACATTATTTGGAGAATAATTTATACAAAGATCTACTAAATCAATAGCGCACGTATCGATTTCCTGAATACTAACAATCTTATATAGTTATATATATAGTTATACGGAAGTTGTTAAAACTTTCGAGATATGTATATACATACACGTTACAAAAAACCAATAACGACCTTTCTAAAAGATAACTGTCTGACAGCATGATATTCTTATAAGAGCTGTAACCAGTTGACCGGAGTTTAACGTAAAATCACGATCAATCAATTAACAGCAACGCAGAACTTCGTACGTACGTACATCAGTTAGAGTCACCATACCACATTAGCACAGAGATGTAATTGTAAATTTAAATCCCATAGTATTAGGGGTGGTAGACGTATTAATAGTAATCGGAGAGGGTAAGGTTCGAAAATACTATTCAAGAAGTAGAATCTAGTGAAATAAACTTAAAAATAAAAAGATAAAGGTGTTGAGGAATAAGTTTCAGTACTTCATCTATCGACCTGCCATTCTTACCTAAGGCCCGTCTCCTAACAACAGCATTGTTTACTCGGTTGTCTCACGATACACGAGCAATGCTTTGGAGACACATATGACCGAAAACCAGCGCTTCTTACGAATATCTTCTACTCTGACTGACCATGTTTCTCATTCATACTGTAGGACGGAGAGAACTGCTGCACAGTATACTCGTCCTTTGGTTAGCGAGCGGATATCTTGCCTGCACCATAAGTGATGCCACTTGGCAGAAGCCAATCGAGCTCTCTGTATCCGTGCCGAGATTTCGTCAGTCACTAGGCCATCGGCACTGATGAGACTCCCCAGATAAGTGAAGCGATCAACTCGCTCGACTACTTCACTCCCTATCACTAGTTCAGGTGCCGATGCAACCCAGTCTTGAAGCAAAATTTTGCATTTCGAGGGTGAAAACCGCATCCCGAACATGCTCGCATTGTTGCTTAGGGTAGTCAGAAGACTTTGCATTTTGTCAGCGTCTTCAGCAAATAGGACATGTCATCGGCATATTCTAGGTCAGTAAGCGATTTTCCTGGTAGAAGGTCAACCCCTGAAAAATATGACGGGGATAATGTTAACTCCAAAAGCATGTCTATGACAAAGTTAAACATGAATGGACAGAGTAGACAGCCCTGACGATCATTACTTGAAGAAAAGAATTCCAATGACAGTTCTCCATTGGCTCTAATTTGACCAGTGGTGTTCGAGTAGAGAGCTTGTATAAGGTCAATGTACTTCTTTGGTACACCTTTGAATGAAAGACACTGCCACAGAACCTCACGATCTACAGAGTCAAATGCCGTTTTTAGGTCCAGGAAAAAACTATTGTAGGATGCCTAAATGTGTGTCTGTGTTCCAGGACCTGTCGTAGTGTAAAGACGTGGTCTATACAGCCACGTCCGGGTCTGAAACCAACCTGGTTTTCTCTAGTCTGCTCTTTACGAGCACTAGTTAAGCGTCTAAGGATAACTAAGGCTAACAATTTAGAAACTGTATTAGTTAGATTTATTCCCCTGTGATTGTCACAACAGGACTTTTGTCCTTTCTTATAAATTGGGACAATCAGGAATTGAGACCAGTCGGATGGGATTGTGTCAAGTTGCCACATTCTACCTAAGATCTCAGTCAATCTAGTACAATTGTGTATAAGCGCCACATTAAAGCAAAGTTATCATTCACAACACTTTCAATATTAGAAAATAACAAACTGTTACCTTTGAATAAGAAAGATTATATGCTGACCAGTACTCGTCTAACCAACGCCAAGTTTCTTGACATACATTTCGATACTTCAACTCCAAATTAGTTGCATTCAATTTCGATTTGAATTGTAATGGTTGAATATTTGATGAGTACTGAAATGATTGTGAGCTTTGATAAGTTAAAGGTGGTTGAGTTTTTTTTAAATTCGGATTTGTTTCATTCTGAATAGGTGTTTGACAAAATTGTTTGTAATTAATCAAAGCAATAAACTTATCATTGCGGGCAAAAGATTGTAAACGGGTGGAATTTATTGCATTGAATAATTTCATACTGTAGAACCACATGTTTTCCCAGAAGATATCAGCTTCAAATCATGTTGTTCTAGTCAACCAAGGAGTTAGCCTTTAAGAAAATAATTACAATATTAGTTAGCATTTAACAACAGTCATGAATCATAATTAACGATAACAACATAAATAAACATGTGTAGTGTGTCGAATTAATGCGTCTGCGTGTTCTTAAGCTCGGTTTATAAATCAGAACATGAACTCGTATTGATGAATACGTTTATTCGGGACACACCACAAAGCGAAGCGGAATTGGAGAAGGCTAAGAGCCAACTCTTTGGATTACAATGCGAGCAAATGGGCGAAGCGAATTGGAGAAGGCTATGAGCCAACTCAAAGAGATAGAGCATGACTAAGAATATAGAGTCAGGCATAAATAAGACAGACATGTGACAAGCGAAATAGGTATGCACACACATGAATAAAAGCGACGAATGATTGAAAAGGTCAAAAGCAAGCGATACAAATCATGTGAGTTCATGGGGAAATTAAGAGATTAACATTAAAGCGAAAAGGATGAGTAAGTGTGTAGGCGTAAGCAATGCTCAGTCGTATAAGCTCATACAAACCAGATAATAAAAACTACCAATGGTACGTATGGGTTGTTGCTATACAAATGGCTTGGTTACAAAAGTTAATCAAAAGGCTCAATCAAATTAAATATGAGCGAACTCAAGTTTATGTGGAGGCACTACACATGTAACACAGGTTTCAGAAGTTTTCACAGCAATATGTAAGACAAAATGAACTGATTCAATTCGGACTAATGGTTAAAAAAAGTTGAAGTTTAACTTCACAAAATAAATGCATAGGAATGTCAGTTAGGTGAGTCTAGAAATTCATCATCATCATCGTCATCAACAACAGCAACGTAGAACTTCGTGCGTAAGTACAGCAGTTCAAGTTGCCATACCACATTAGTACAGAGATATAAATATCAATTCATATCCCATAGTGGTAGAGGTAGTAAAAGTATTAGAAGCAATCGGAAAGATTAAGGTTCGAAGATGTTATTCAAGAAGTATAATTCAGTGAGGTAAATTCAGAAAGAGAAAGATAAAGGTGATGAGGAATTCAGAAGGTTAGAATTTTATAAAACACAAGGAGTAAATGCACCTGCGTCATTGCAAACGGTTTTGACCCATCTCATTCAGGGTCTCTAACCATCGATTATTATCATCTCGCAGACCCCAACAAGGTAGCCTGCATCTACCTACATGGCTCGGTCCACTTGTCAGTCACTTCATGGATTTCTGTCATGTTTTAGTGTGGCCGCCCCTAGTTTTCGTCCAGCTTATTCCTATATCGCAAAACATAGCTCGATGAGGCAGTTGGTGGCTAGGCATACGTAACACATGTCCCAACCACCTCAACTGATAAAGTTTGATTACTTCATCTATTGAACTGCCAAGCTTACCTAGTACTCGTTTCCTAACGACAGCATTGCTTACTCGGTTGTCCCACGATATTCGAGCAATGCTTCGGAGACATATGATCGAAAACAAGTAACCTACGAATATCTTATACTCTCATTGGCTATAATGCGTCGATTAATAACTCAACCAAGAAACAGGTATATTACGTTCAATGAAATTAAAAAAATTGGCTAGATCCTACAGATATTCCTAACCTCATTACTGGTCTGGAATAAGACTGCCACTAGACTATCAATACTGAAACACTTTAATAATCACTCAATATCAAAAGAAGTTAAATAGACTGTAGCTCATAATGCGCTTTTTGACAACAAGTGCAAGATCTAATTTAAAACATTCTCACTGATCACATTTCCTGGAAGTGATTTAATTTGATTTACACGAACAAGTGCATCAGTCAGTCAGTCAGATGCAACGTAGAACTTCGTACGTAAGTACATCAGTTCATGTTGCCATACCACATCAGCACAGAGATGTAATTGTCAATTCAAATCCAATAGTAGAAGAGGTAGTAAAGGTATTAGAAGTATTCGATGAGGTAGGGATTAGAAGATATTATTCAAGAAGTATGATTCAGTGAGAAAAGTTTAGAAAGACAAAAGTAGAGCGGTTGGAGAATCCAGAAGATTAGGATTTGAGAGAACACAAAGAATAAATGCAACGGCGCCACTGCGATCGATTTTGAGCCATGTCATTCAAGGTCTCTAACCATCGATTATTATCATCTCGCGGACCCCAACTAGGTAGTCGACAACTACTGACATGGCTAAGTCCACTCGTCAATGACTTCATGGATTTCTGCCATGTTTTGGTCTGGCCGACCCTAGCTTTCTTCCAACCAATTCTTACACTACAAAACAAAGCTCTTCTAGGCAGTCGGTGGTTAGGCATACGCAACACACGTCCCAACCACCTCAACTGATGAAGTTTCAGCACTTCATCTATTGATCTGCCACACGAGTGCATCCATTTGAGTGAATGTCAATTCGTTAATGTTTGATCAATCTATATAACTAACTCAAACGTAAACACAACGTTTGTGCGCTTGATTATTAAATAGTATACATTAAAAACAGGACTGTATATTGTTCTTAAATTTATCCAAATTGCATATTTTCTTTGACACAACAATATCATCATTTAAATGAAATAACTATTTGACTGAAATGTTCATTGTCACACCTACGACATTCAATCAATGAAAATAATAAAACAAATTAGATAATGTACTAGTAACTTCTGAAGTATTTAAACTCCATCAGTTGAGATGGTTGCGACATGTATTACGTATGCCCAACCAACGACTGCCTCGACGAGCTGTTTTGTGGTATAGGAGTAGGTTGGGAGAAAGCTAGGGGCAGAAATCCATGGAACCACTAACAAGTAGACTGAGTCATGTTGGCAGACGTAGGTTACCTTTTTGGCGTCACCAGGAGAAAATCACCAATGGTTAGAGACCTTGAACGACAAGGCTCAGGTGCATTCATTCAATGTGTTCTCTCAAATTCTAACCTGAATTCCTCATCATCTCTTTCTCTTTCTAAATTTATCCCACCGAATTAAACTTCTCGAATCATATCTTTGAACTCTAATCTTCTCCATTACTGCTAATACTTCTACTATCTCTAACATTACTGGATTTGAACTGACAGTTGCAGCTCTGTGTTAATCCGGTATGGCAACCTGAACTGATGTACGTACGTAAGTTCTACTTTGTAACCGACTGACTGACTGAGTAACTTTTGAGATTTTTGTACACACCATACAGTCTACTTTAGTTTCGAAAATCGAATATTAACACCAGAGACCAATTACAAGAGTGCGTTTCAAATGTATGTGGGGAAATACCTCTTGAAATAACCTTATTCTCATGAATCACAGAAGATTTGCAACTGACATAATCTCAATAAGAATGAAATCCTTGTTCAATTTGCTTAAACCTTTATGTAACAAGTGATGAAAATGTTGTCTCCTATTGAGACAGAGATTACGTGAAGTTATATGCGTTGCTAATTTTCGATTGGCACGTGTTTCTGAAACACTAGTCAAGTATAGCAACCATATTTAATGGGGCACTAATTCGTGTTAAGAAATTGGTTGTTGAGCTTTAATTAACTGGAAGTTAGGATGCGTAACGCATTATTGGGTATTTTATCCTTCTAGTTCACTTTCACTAGCACAACTGATTTAAAATATGATAAACTAAACCGACAAGCATTTGTGATAGGTCCTACAATGTTTTGGGAATTGCAGCCCGCAGTTTCCCTTTCCAGATCTTGCTGGTGCTATATAAAATAACGTGGACATAGTTTTGTAAGGTGTCATGTTGTGTGATCGAGAGAAGATAGGGATTCGTTGTCTTCCCAGACAGACTGGAAGATGGCCTGACATGTGTTCGATGTGTCAGATGTATTTCTCAACCTAAGTGTTTACTTAATTGTCGGTTGTAGGCTAATACGCAAACTAGTCCAGTGAATCATGTTGGCTGAGTATCTATTACGGATTGAGTGAGTCACATGCACAGATAAGTCGTACACTGTTCTTCCTAGACAATTTAATGTGCGATTAATGCAAAGGATAATTTGGGCGTTACTTCACTTTATCTACTCACACAAAGTCCCGAAAACTAACAGGAACTGAAGGTTTAGAGTAATTCATATTTCAAATTTTACAAACAATTGAATATTCAGTTAGATGAGCTTTTTCATGCAATAACTCAGGTAGACAGACATAGGGATGAAAGGTGAGAAAACGAGGTGAAATGAAGCGGAGAATGAAGGTGGGCCCACTCCTTGTAGTGAGGTACGGCTAATGATTTAGATTGATTGAAGTTGGACATTAACACCATTCGATGCCGGTTTCGTGATTTAGAGGTTAAGTGTTCGCGTTCGAGACTGAACGTCCCTGCTTCACTTCCCACGAGCGAGGATAGTGGATACGCCCTATCGATGAGTCCTATTTTAGGGCAAAACGACCACCTAGTGCTTGCAGGTTTCTAATGGTGGTCGAACAATGATCGATTCATCATTTCAGTAAAACTCAACAACCCACAGCCCTATAATAAGTATTTAGTCAGCTACAACGTACAACTTCGTACGTACGTACGTACATCAGTTCAAGTAGCCATATCACATTTACATACAGAGATCGAATTCTCAATTCGAATCTCATCGTAGCACAAGTATTAGGAGTAATGAAGATTAGAGTTCGAACATATTATGAAAGTATATATAGCTCAAAACAGCTGTAAGGGACTATAAATTAGTGCCATGTTTTGATCTGGCCAACCCTATTTTTCTCCCAGCCTACTCCTACACGTGACATCACTCGTCGAGGCAGTACTTGGCAGGGCTTGCGTAAATGATGTCCCAACTACCTCAGCTGATGAAGTTCCAATATATCATCTACTGATCTGACATCCTTACCTAGTACCCACTTCTTTACAATAGCATTGCTTACTCGATAGATTCAAGATATGTGAGCAACGCTTCTAAGACACCTATGATCAAGAACCTACAAGTAACCGCTATCCCTACTGCCCATGTTTATCAGTCATAAAGTAGGACGCAGTAAACTGTTGTGCAGTACACTCATAATTTGGTTAGCAGATGGGTAACTCGCCTACGCCAAAAGTGACGCAAGTTGACAAAAGCTAGTCGAGCCATCTGTATCGGTGCTGAGATTTCGTCAGTCACCGTTCCATCAGAACCGATGAGACTCCTAAGATAAATGAATCGGTCAACACGCTAATCTACTTCGCTACCTATCACTAGTTCAGGTGCCAGTGCAAGCGGATCCTGAAGCAACAATTTGCGTTTTGAGGAAGAAAACCGCATAGTTGCTTCCGGCAGTCAGAAGACTACATTTTTTCAGCGTCTTCACCAAGAGAGCTATATCACTTAAGTATTTTAGGTCGACAAGTGAATCTCCCGGTATTACAGTTAAGTTTTCAAAAAAGTTCAATTCATGCAAGTACAACAGTTTCATAATAACGCTAACTAGAATTAGTAAGAACAAAATTATAGAATAAAGTTTATTCACACATCAATCTACAAGTCACAAGGGATTTCTAAAAATACAGTAAGTTAAGAATACGGACTGGAAATATTTTAGTATGTTATGATTTCTTCTCTTCGTCTGGGACTTCATCTAGTTTCTGAAGCGAATTACAATGAAGGCCAGAAAAACTTACCACTACACGGTGAGACACTAGAGGAAGAGGTTGTTTAAAGTCATTATTGCAATTAGAAACCCCCATTCCAAGACCAAAACCTGTACCCAAGATTAGTGGCCATGGACGCCCTAGGTAACTTATATAATACTAATATTAACTTACTTTTAGCAAGCACTACGGAAAATATGATTCCTCCAAATAACCCAGCGCCTAAAACTTATTTGAAAAATACGTATATCGAACCTATTTTTATCAGGGTATCTGAAATACATCTATCAAGTTTAAAGCCAAGTATATCTTCTGACTTAAGGTCACCACCCATTTCACCGAAACGTACAGGAGAAATAAGGCGCCTTTGACTAATAAATGGTGAATGGAATCGACGAGAAGGAAATTGTTACTTATCACTATCCTTAAATGAAGTCAGTGCTTTTTTGCGTGCTTAATAAGTGGTCATCTCGCATCTTAAATTCTTCCGTTTTACATTTCTATCAACTAATGCCACTCTACGTGCTCCTCTGGTATACAGAGTACAGGCTGCTAGGTGTGGAGTGCAACACTTCCTTTATTACATGGCCAGTGTAAAGTGAAACACGTGAGAGAACCTGGGCTGATAAAAACAGCAACCTAGTAAATAAGCTAAAGGGTGTGGAGCCTGTCAATCCTGTAACTTGCTATCCAAAATATAGTAGTCAGTCCCCAAAAAGTTTTTCCAGAGTACTGCCCGTAATATTTGGCAATCAAAAGCTCTATTTGACACTTCTACCTGCTTAATTACCGGTCAAAGATATTCACTTTACGAAATCGAACTGACCATGGGGATTTAGGCAGTCACTCATGAATTGCGTTGGCTTGTCCATGGGTTTTTTAAAGGTTTTTTATTTTTATGAAGTCTTTAAATTAATAAATCGGTCTGTGGACCTAAAACTGGCTCATAACATCAATCAATGATGGGAACCTTGTCTGATAAGTGTCTTTATGAGTCTAGCTGAAGCACCTTCCCATTATTGACAGTTCGTGGTATGTGTTGTAATATGTTGATCCCACAGGGCTTCGGTCAGCACTTGAACAATTTGAGCAATACATTCTTCTTAAATTATTCATTTGTCGTTTGACCTTGTCAATCATTCACCCATATCTACGTCGTTTTAACTAGAGTTTGTATGTGAACTTTTACTTCGCTTATTACATTTGGCTATAAATTATTAGTCATGGCTGACTCGCCTTTTCTGTTTCGCTTCGCTTTGCCTTTCTGCTTCTTCATCTCATATCTGCCTGCGTTAACAAATGCATGAAATAGTTGAGTCCGCGAAACTATATTCGGCTTCTCACTGCTTTCATCACACAAACGGATTTCGCCTAAGTATGATGTGTGGAAACCGGAGGAGAGATTTCTTCGTAGCATGTTTGTATATTTCCGTGTCAGATAGGGGGGCCACTAAAGTGGTCAATGTCAAATTTATTTCAATCTCTGTAATCACTTTGAGTTCAAAACTTCCAAACTTAATTGATTACACGATTGAAACAACATATCAGACACGACAAACGACGCAGACAAAATCTCGGAGGCAGTTTAGCAATAATATGTACAAAAAAGAAAGCATATTATCAAATCGATTTTTTTCACGAGTATCGACTAGTCGCATTACTCTATCTTAACTCCCACATTATCATTATCACATTTTAATTATCCCATTACCCTGCGAAACTATTATCATAGTACATGCTGACATCAAACTTTGCTAGATACAGAATCAAAACACTAAGAACATTGTATTCATATCATGACTCACTTCATAACTCACCGGATCATTTCATATCATAGGAACACGAAGAAACGTTTCCTGCTTAAAATGAGTTTGCACCGATTTTTGCTGTACCTAATTTTCATATGCTAAATCTTGGATCATTTTAATGGCTCTATCGGAATATATATACAGTGTAATTTACGTGAATTTACGATTAACAGACGTTTCTGAAGTTTTTATCGGCTGTTCGAACCACAAATATCTAAAAGCTGAAGGTTTAGAATGTTTACAATTTTTGTTCATTCCTCTCATATCTTTCTCTATTTCTCGGCGTAATGAGTTCCTTGAACTTCCTCTTTTCCTTTTGCCTTGAGGGTTCCATGTGAGGGCTTGTCTTGTGATGCAGTTAGGTGCTTTTCGTAGTGTGTGTCCTATCCACTTCCACCGCTTCTTCCTGATTTCCTCCTTCACTGGATTCCTGTTTGTTCTCTCCCACAGTATGTTGTTGCTGATGGTATCTGACCAACGGTTCCGAAGTATTTTGCGTATACAACTGTTAACAAACACTTGTATCTTCTGGATGATGCCTTTCGTAGTTCTCCACGTTTCCGCTCCATACAGTAGAACTGTCATGACATTTGTATTGAAAATCCTGATTTGGTTTCGGTTGAACGTTGTTTGGAGTTCCAGATATTTTTCAAATGTAAAAATGCAGCCCTTGCTTTGCCAATCCGCACACTCACATCTGCATCGGATCCACCTTTCTCGTCGATGATGCTGCCAAGATATGTAAAGGTGTAAACGTCCTGCAAGGCATCCCCATCAAGAGTGATTTGGTTAGTGCATGTTGTGTTGCTTCGGAGAATTTCGCTTTTTCCTTTATGTATGTTGAGACCTACTGCTGCAGAGGCTGCTGCTACACTGGTCGTCTTCTCTTGCATTTGTTGTTGCGTGTATGATAGAAGAGCCAGGTCATCTGCGAAGTCCAGATCGTCCAGCTGCGTCCTAACTGTCCAGTTGATACCGTGCTTCCCTCCAGATGTTGACGTCTTCATAATCCAGTCAATCACCAGGAGAAAGAGAAAGGGTGAGAGTAAGCAACCTTGCCTGACACCGGTCTTCACCTCGAAGGAGTCTGTTAGCTGTCCTTTGTGTACGATTTTGCAGTCGAATCTATCATAAGAGTTCCGTATGATTTTGACTATTTTCTCAGGCACACCGTAGTGTCGAAGAAGCCTCCACAGTGTTTTCCTATCCACGCTATCAAATGCTTTCTCGTAGTCGATGAAGTTGATGTAGAGTGGTGAGTTCCATTCAATTGATTGTTCCACAATGATCCGTAATGTAGCAATTTGGTCAGTACACGATCGATCCTTACGAAATCCAGCCTGTCGATCTCGAAGTTGGGCGTCTACGAAGTCCTTCATTCTGTTTAACAATACTCTGTTGAAGACTTTGCCTGGTATTGAAAGAAGAGTGATGCCTCTCTAGTTCTCACACTTGCTTAGGTCGCCTTTCTTTGGTATTTTGATGAGGTATCCTTCTTTCCAATCTGATGGTACTTGTTGCTCATCCCAAATCTTCTTGAAGAGGATTTGAAGCATTTTTGGCTTTGCTTCCACTTCTGCCTTCATTGCCTCTTCTGGGATGTTGTCTGGTCCTGCTGATTCGCAGCTATTGATTTGTCTGATGGCCATGTTGATCTCCTCTATTGTATGTGTGCCCAAATAATTGGGAGGCTCGCAGATGCTGCTTCGATACTGGGTGTATTTATTGGAGTTGGTCGATTCAATAGTTCCTTAAAGTGCTCTACCCACCTATTTCGCTGTTGTTCAGTGTTGCTGATTACTTTGCCTTCCTTGTTTTTCACTCGTTGTTCCGGTTTAGGACGGTTTTCAGCGAGCTTGTTTGTTGTATCGTAAAATTGTCTCATGTTTCCTTCTATTGCACAG